TAATTTGATAGTACAGATGTTAAATATTTGCGGAATCTTACCTCTGTGCACTAGGTCTGTGACAGCAAATGCTACCATAATCGCTAGAACTGTAAATCGCAACATCATTCCAGCTTTACTCCATTTATGCTAATGTATTCAGGACTACATGGCGCATATAATACACACATTTCAATTTCTTAGCTGAATATGTTGTGATGTAGTTCTATTGTTCTATTCCAACAACACGTCCAGTAGTTCCATACCCCGGTATCCAGTCCACATATGGACTGCAGGCAACAATTTGTTCCACTGCGTTGATAGTTACTTATCGTAGAACGTATGACAAAGACCTTCGGCACGTAAACAATACAGATTTGAAAAGCGTCATGTACTGTAGACAACTCCAGATGTGATGCGCGCCCGGGGTGCGCGCTGACGGAGTTCGAGTAAAATCTAGATATTCCAAAATTCCAATGGTTCTACAAACGTACGCAAAAGTCATCGGCACCTGTTTCGTCAATCTCCTACCCATATGTCTTTGCGTTTTACGCAATAGTTACCTGCAGGTGAGTTACCTGGTTAAATATTATGCATACGAGAACGGAACGAGAACGGATACGTCACTGCTTTGTGCATGACCACCGCGAGAACCAATGACGTCATCGGTTGCCTGGTCGTTCGGCAGTCGTTTTGAACGTGATCAAGGTGACTGACTCGTGGTTGATTTCCGAGAGCTTTTCTCGCTGTCAATTTTGAATAATTTTCACTGACATTGATAACACGTTTTATATTAGAGTGTTTTTAAATATTTATGATGAAATAAGAAATATTGGATACATTTTAGCTGACATTTATACCCACTGAAAACGCATGATATTGATCTGCTGAAAGAGGATTCGGCAAACAGGCCTAGGACCTCAGCAGAGTGGATGGAAATAGTTCACAGACATTTGACAGAGCTCTCACTAACTACTAATTCTGATTCCGGACGTGAAATGACATAACACATTTTATTAGGTACTAGTAGTTATTGTTGCCCAATGAGAGACGGATTGACATGGTTCTGGTTTCAGTTACGTTCCCGTTGTGGGCGCTTGTACTTAATCGTTTTCTGACACCCGAGAACGTAACGCAAACGAAATTAGAACATCACGTTACGTTCCCGTTACGTACGCAAATCTTAAACTCTCTAATAACACATGTTTGTGAGGGTAATTGCATCATCAATATTATAGTCATGACCACCATCTCTTGGGCAGACAACAAATCGTGATATTACCCGAATGACCATGTGTTATTAATTTTAGATCACATCGAGCAGACGTCCACCATGCACAAATACATCTAACCATTCATCACTTACACCACAGTCCCTCAACACCGGTGTTGAGGGACTGTGCTTACACCCAATCTCCCACAAAATAACAATGGGGATGCCCGGTGGCCGAGGGGAAGACGTGTAGTGGCGTGAAGCTAGGCGATTATGTGCCGTACGCGAGCGCCGGTTCGAGTCACGCACGCAGTACGTATTTACTATAATTAGACGTAGTCTTTACCTTGCCGTTTATTCGGTGTTATTTGCTCACAAAATAACAACACTTATATGCGCATACGAGAACGGAACGAGAACGGATACGTCACTGCTTTGTGCATGATCTCCGCGCGAACTAATGACGTCATCGGTTGCTTGGTGGTAGGGCAGTCGTTTTGGACGTGATAAAGGTGACTGACTCGTAGTTGATTTCCGAAAGCTTTTCTCGCTGTCAATTTTGAATAATTTTCACTGACATTGATACAACGTTTTATATTAGAGTGATTATATTCATGATGAAATATTGGATGTATTTTAGCTGATATTTATACCCACTGAAAACGCATGACATTGATCTGCTGAAAGAGGATTTGGCAAACAGGCCTGGCACCTCAGCAGAGTGGGTGGAAATAGCGAGAGCTCTGTCAAATGTCTTGGAACTTAACTACTAATTCAGTTTCCGGACGTGAAATGACATAACAAATGTTATTGGATAGATGGTGGCCAAATGAGAGACGGATTGACATGGTTCTGTTTCAGTTACGTTCTCGTTGTGGACGCTTGTACTTGATCGTTTTCCGACACCCGAGAACGCAACGCAAACGAAATTAGAACAACACGTTACGTTCCTGTTACGTACACAAATCTTAAACTCTCTATTTTCAGCCACGGATACTAAAAGTGAACCACTCAATTTATCGAGTATAAAATTTTTGAAATGAATTGAGAAAATCTCAAACGCAAGTTATTTAACCACTCGCCAGATACAAATGTCAGAGTGCCGTAGAAATGTTAGAAATTACTTTCTCACGAACGTACTACACCTTCTATTCACAAGTCACGCAGCTTAGAGCGTTTTTTGTTAGCAGCGATCCCGGCTGCGACGTTTCAGTGGCGGCTTTGGCGTACATTTTTGCTTCATATAAAGAATACCCTAAACATCGAAACAGAGTATCTTACTTAATATCCATTCTGGCACGTTCGCTGTCTATTTCGGATGGCTAAAGTTGCTTCGAAACCTTGAAAGCAACCCCCAAAGCAACAACGGCCGGGGAAGCACCAGTGCAGCGAACGAATTTGTTATGCACAGTATCGTTGCGAAGTAGTTTCAGTGACGTCGTCCATGTGATATACTCACTTGGTGGGCAATATACCATGTAATATCCATTTTTATTCAATGTCATGTGACCGAGTTTCAACCAATCGTAGCAGGCGTAATGTAACAACAGTGAAATGTGATGATACATGATAAGTAACGCACATGGATGCGTAGCTGCCGTTCCGTGAAATGGCCACATTGTTCCATTTGGGCCGGTTTTCCGGCTGGAAGGAACGCGACTGAGTGACGTAATTTGAAAACATTCCAAGTTCCGTTCTGCGTAAACGTGTCTGTAACACTACAGTAGAGAGTTTAAGATTTGCGTACGTAACGGGAACGTAACGTGTTGTTCTAATTTCGTTTGCGTTACGTTCTCGAGTGTCAGAAAATGATTAAGTACAAGCGCCCACGACGGGACCGTAACTGAAACAAAACCACGTCAATCCGTCTGTCACTGGGCAACCATAATATTATAACTATCCAATAAAATTTGTTAAGTCATTTCACGTCCGGAATCTGAATTAGTAGTTAGTTCCCAGACATTTGACATAGCTACCACTATTTCCATCCACTCTGCTGAGGCCCCAGGCCTGTTTGCCGAATCCTCTTTCAGCAAATCAATGTCATGCGTTTTCAGTGGGTATAAATATCAGCTAAAATGCATCCAATATTTCTTATTTTATCATAAATATACAAAAAACAATCTAATATAAAACGTGTTATCAATGTCAGTGAAAATTAATCAAAATTGACAGCGAGAAAAGCTCTCGGAAATCAACTACGAGACAGTCTCCTTCATTACGTTCAAAACGAATGCCGTACGACCAGGCAACCGATGACGTCATTGGTTCTCGCGGAGGTCATGCACAAAGCAGTGACGTATCCGGTCTCGTTCCGTTCTCGTATGCGCATCTTAATGTCTCTAATAAAGCCATGCTCATACATTCTGCCTGCTTAGACTTACATATTTGGGATGTTTCTGACATTCCTCGCTGTTTTTGTGCAAATTGATAACAAAAGGAACAGTTTTTTATTCGCCCAACTTTCGAAAGTAAAAGAAAATCCCAGAACGGCCACGAGCGTAAGCGCTGGCGTCAGGTAACCAAGGGATTCCGAAATAGAACAATCAACAAGAAAGTGACGGACCAATCAGAATGCCGGATTCGTTACTAGTTACCGGCCTATTGTGGCTTGGTATGCCATGACACTTGAGGCGGTAACCAGCCAACAGTCAGGGCGCCACTACGCCAACTTATCAGGCAACGTAAGACCTAATCACATTGGTTCGTGAGTTTCTGTATTTTGCAAAATAAAATAGGGAAGATCCCATTGACGCTGCAGGTCGGCGTCCAATCTCCACCGCAGACTTCTATTTCTACGAACATGTATCTGCCCGAAATCCGCACAGGGATCTAATTTATCCTATAATCTAATGTCTTGAAAACTTTGAAAGGACTACTTCCTAGCGTGAATCTTGCATGTTTTAATTTAATTGACCAAACATTTCTTTCAGATTTAGGGCGTTTAAACTGATTAAAATAACCAAGTGGTCTTCATTTTTTTCCGCCCGCCGCCTAACAAATCCAAGTTGCATTTCCATGGGAGTATCATGATCAAAGTAACGGAGTCTTGCGCAGATCTATACTTTATGCGCGTTGGTTACAGTGAATCTCGGGTATTGACCTCTCTGCGTGCTGCTTGAAACTACTAGGCGAACATGGCGGCGGCGTGGTTTGTGGTGTCACGCCTCTGTCGTCAAAAACCGAGAAATCCTTCATTAATGCTGAAATTTGTGCCACAATTGGCGACATTGCCAACCAGGTTATGCATGGAATAACATTTTATTTCATTTTTCTCCGATCAATGATCTCACTTACAATTCTTTGAGAATCACATAAATCTAATGGGGAAAAACGAATTAATTTTATTTTTTTCCGCCCTCCTAAATTGACTTATAAAAACTCAAGAAACAAGGAATAAAAAAGGTCTGGCCTTAAATAAAATAAAAAATGGAGGTGTTAGTGCGAAATCACCCCGAGTCGGCGTGATTTCGCAGTTACAGGGAATTTCGCGATTTTTATTTTATTTAAACTGAAAAAATAAATTAATCGCCCGATTGTGCCAGTCTACCATAGACCCTCCGGTAGAGGGATACGAAACTGCCGGCAAACATCAAAGGAAATGACAGGACATGATATACGAACTACTTTTGCATAAACACATTCCGTTTTGTCTACCCATGGAACTAGAGACCATATAAACCATAAACCATGATTTATAGTTCCATAGTCTACCCCTGGTCTACCCGGCGCTTTACTTGCAGTGTACGTTTTTAGCTTTTGTGTCATCTTGAATTTTCAAGGTGAATGTTATCCGAACGAAACAACACCGTGCAGGCGGACGATGCTTTTGTGTCGAATTCCGCAATTTTCCCGACGATTACAAGTGTTGAAGTTTCTTTGAAGAAGTCTTAGTTACACAGGGTACGTAATACCATGTTTTATTTGTTGTCAGCCTGTGTAAGCATTTACATTTATGCAATA